GGGGTAGAGAGAGAAGATGGGAGGGGAGGGGAGGGGAGGGGGGATAGTAGAGGATAGGAAAGGCAATAGAATACAACAGACACTACTATGGCAATATGTAAATCAGTGGATGTGTAACTGATGTGATTCTGCAATCTGTATACGGGGTAAAAATGGGAGTTCCTAACCCACTTGAATCAAAGTGTGAAATATGATATATCAAGAACTATGTAATGTTTTGAACAACCAACAATAAAAAAATAATAAAAAAGAAAATGTTCTACTATTCTGTTGCTTATAAAAATGTTTACTTCTCACTGGAACATTCAATTATGACCATTTAAGTTCTTACATTTATAAGAGAAATACCACCGATAATTCAAAGGATCCAGAATAGCCAAACTAATTTTCAAAAGGGAAGAACAAATTAGGAAGACTCATATTTGTCATTTTCAAAACTTGCTACAATAATCAATACCAGTGGTGCTGTCATAAGGATAAACATAAAGATTAACAGGACAGAATATGGGGTATACTGGGGAATGATACTGGCCAAATTACATTGTGTGCATGTATAAATATGTAACAATGAATCCTGTCATTATGTATAATTATAATAGACCACTAAAATATGAGAAAAAATTATAAAAATGAATTCTTGCATTTATAGTCAACTGATTTAGAGCAAGGGTGGCAAGACACTTTAATGGCAGAAAGACAGTCTTTCCTCCAGCACTAGCTAGATAGCCAATACAAAAGAATGCAGTTGGACCCTTATCTCACATCATATACAAACATTAATTTAAAATGAATCACATACTGAAATTTAAAAGTTAAAACTGTAACATTTTTAGAAGAAAACGGGATCAAATTTTTGTGATCTTAAGCTATGATTTCTTAGATACGGTAACAGAAGTATAAGCTACAAAAGAAAAAAAATGGACTTCATCAGGATTAAAAACTTGTGTTTCCAAGGACATCATAAAGATAGTAAAAAAATAACCCACAGAATGAGAGAAAAAAACTACAAATCATATATCTTATTAGGGACTTGTATATATAAAATGTGTCAATAATGAAACTGACAAATAACCTAATAAAAAATGGACAATAGACCTGAATAAACATTTCTCCACAGAAGATATACATATGACCAATAAACACATAAAAAGATGTTCAACATCATTGATTGTAAGGGAAATGCAAATTAAAAACATGTCATACTACCAAGTACAATGGTTATTATTTTTTAAGGAAGTAATAAGTGTTAGTGAAATGCAGAGAAATGAGAACCCTCAGACATTGCTGGTAATAATGCATAATGGTGCAACTGCTTTGGAAAACAACCTGGTGGTTCCCCAATAAATAAGTTAAACATATATTTGTGGCATGACATAGCAATTCCATTCTTTTGTATCCAAGAGAAACAAAAGTATGTCCACAAAAATTATGAATGTTTATAATACACCATTATTCATAAGAGCCCCCAAGTGAAAATAACATAAATTTCTATGAACCAATGAATAGATAAAAAATGTCATCTAGGGCTGGGGTTGTGGCTCAGTGGCAGAGCACTTGCCTCGCATGTATGAGGCACTGGGTTCAATCCTCAGCACCACATAAAAAAAATGAATAAACAAAATAAAGATACTGTGTCCATGTATAACAAAATATTTTTTAAAATGTGGTCTATTCATACAATAGAACATGACTCATTCACAAAAAAAAGAATGAAGTATTGGCACATGATGAACCTTGAAAACATGTTTTCATTCTGAAAAAGGAAGTGAAGGAAGTCAGTCACAAAAGTCCACCTACCATATGACTCCATGTATATGAAATGAAATCAAATCCATAGAGACAGAAAGCAGATTAGTGACTGCCAGAGGCTAGGGTGTGTGGTGTTTATTTTTGAAGTGATAAAAATTTTATAAAATTACATATTGGTTATGTTTGCTCAATCTGTGTATGCTAAAACCACTGAACTGTACACTTTAAATGAGTGAATGTCATAGTATATAAATTAAGTCTCAAGAGACTAGGCTTTTTTTTAAATAGTAAATTTTGCAGTCCCCCTTCCACCAAAATAGATGAAATCATAGTTTAAATTCTATATATAAATTTCAATCTTCTGCTGCTGGGTTTTTCTTTGTTTTAAAGAACTTTATTAAGATATGATGATTACCATAAACTTTATTCTTTATTTTTTTTCCCTTTTAAGTTAACAGGGCTCAATCACACTGAATGCAGAGGAGTACAGATTTGTGTTACTCCTCAGAAAGTCATGGGCTGGAGCTGGGGCTCAGTGGTAGAATACTTGCTTAGCACATGTGAGGCACTGGGTTCGAGCCTCAGCACCACATAAAAATAAATAAATAAAAGGATTGTGTCCATCTACAATTAAAAGAAAGAAAGAAAGAAAGAAAGAAAGAAAGAAAGAAAGAAAGAAAGAAAGAAAGAAAGTAAGTAAGTCATGGTTCATTGGGTCCCAAACACTATAAAGTAAGAGGCTCATATTAGACATATGTGCTTGAGTTGCTAGAACCCCGTGAGGGCTTCTAGTATAAGCCCCATCTCCCTGCACACTTACAGATAGCATCAGGACCAGAAGCCAAGTCCTCCCTCCATTTAGGCCTCCTTCTATAATAGTCCTTATTGGAATAGGTGCCTGGGCAACATGGGAGACATAAGACACTTACCTCTTTGAGCCGCTGTTGTTCACAGTTACACAGAAAGGTCCCGAAGAGACAGCTATAAAGGTGATCCAGAATTGTAATCAAGAATAGTTCATTAAACTCGAATGCTGAAGGAAACTTAAATGGAGAGAAAAATAAGGTTGTCTTAAAGTCTAATTTCTAAAATAAAGTAATAACACTTCATTGTGAAAGATAACTAAATTACTGTTTGGAATTTATCGAGATTAAAAGGCAGAATGACCCTATGTCTTAACTATCTAAGTTTCAAGTCCAAGGTGATCTGTCTGGCTGAGAAACAACAAAATTTGTTGTATTTTTCTATGCCTAAAATATTTTATGTAGTTTCTACTTCTCACAATGTAGGACAGAGCTCAGGTTCACCCTTCTGATAGAAACAGAAAACTGGATAAAATATATGAAACAAAAATGTTTTGATATATTGGCAATAGGCAACAAGAGACTGTGACCTTGAGAGAAGGCAAATAAGTGAGGGGAGCACTATTATTGTTCCAGCTTCCTATTTGGAGGCACACTGTAGGCCACACAGCAGGAAGGGAGACCCTGGGTTCAACATATACCAAAAGTGAACCAAGAAGAAATATAAAATATTAATAGCTCTTCTATCCATTAAAAAAACCCTCATAACTAAGAACTTTCCCACGAACACAACCTCTGAACATATATCCCTGAATTCTTACTGATATAAGAGCAAATTGAACATGGCAGCATATTAAAAGGGTAATACAAACTGGATGTGGTGGCACACACTTGTAATTCCAGATACTCAGGAGGTTGAGGCAGGAAGATCGTAAATGTATCCATAGCCTGGACAACTTAGCAAGATCCTGTCTCAAAACAAAAAGGGCTGTGATGTAGCTTAGTGATAAAGCACTTGCCTAGCATGTGAGAGGGTGATGGTAGGGTTTGTCTTAGGAATGCAAGGCTGGTTTAACATCTGAAAATCAATGTTACCCCAAAAGCCATTATTATAATTCATCATATTAACAAAAACTATATAATCATCTCAATTGTTTTAGGTAACTGATGATAGGGCTTTGCAGAATTCCAATGAGACTATTAGCATTGCCAGCAGGTTTTAGCTAGTAGCTGGCATTGAGTTATCTGGAAATGATAATAATGATCTCAGCATCAGCGTATACTGGGTACCTACTATATGCCAGAATTCTAATTTTAAAACATAGTGAAATATTCATCACCTACTGAATGAAGCAGAGTCAACTAGAACAAAACCAAATAGAGTTACCTAGTGTATCTGTATTGAAGTCAGTTTATATAAAAGACCTATTCTCCAATCAGAGTGATGTTTTGCACACTATTATGACTAGTCCTGATATCTCTAGAGTGACAATGAGGATCACTGAAAGACAAGTTTACTTTTTAATTTGTCTTTACTAATTTACTATACTAGGAATAGGGTTTTCTATTAGAAACAACAGTCAAATGATGACAGTCTAGACTCCACTTGAAACTGTGATTTTCTTCACTAAGTTATTACATTAGTTGATTTAAAAAATTAAGTATAGTGACCTTCAATAAAGATTTGCCTTTCTCTCCTCAGGGACTGATCTCATAGAAACACAAATATCTCTCCTTAAGGAGCCCAAACATAATGTTGCTTCTTCAGAAACTTCTGGAAACCAGCCGTGGTGATTATTCTTACTGGTATTCTTGTCCCCAGGTTAAGTAAATCAACAATGTGATGTCTCTGGCTGAAATACTAATAAAATCTACTTGTGAATTCTCTCCTGGGTTTTTAAGACTGCTCACTACAACTCTAACAATGGCCTTACATTGAAAATAGCTGTTTTTTTTTTAATATATATATACTAGGGAGTGAACCCAGGAATACTCTACCACTGAGCCATAGTCCCAGACCTTTTAATTTTTTTCTATTTTGAGGCAGGATCTCACTAAGCTGCTGAGGCTGGCCTGGAACTTGTGATCCTCCTGCGTCAGCCTTTTGAGTTGCTGGGATTACAGGCATGTGCCACTGCATCTAGGCCAAATGGCTGTTTTTTATTTTTTTTGTTTTAAATGTCAAGTGTGCTATGTCCATTTTCCCAGTATCCCATAACTATGCTGAAATCCTAACCCTCAAGGTGATAGAATTAGGAAGTAGGATTTCTGGGGGGTAATTAAGGCACGAGGGTAGAGTCCTCATGAATGGGATTAATATCTTTACAAAAGAGGCTAAGAGTGCTCCCCTGTCCCTTCCATCATCTGAAGTGACAGTGAAAATGTGTCATCATGAACCAAGATATAGACCTTCATTAGACAGAATCTGCCAGCACTTAGATTTTAGACATCTCAACCTTCAGAACTGTTGAGAAATTTCTGTTGTTTATAAGCCACTTGGTCTGCAGTATTTTGTCATAACAACCCAAATAGACTAAGACAACAAGCATTCTTACTGATTGCCCCAAGCCTGCATGCTAGATTTGGGAGTCTGGGTAGGTATGTCTTAGTGCCACAGACAAGCCTTGTGGCCAATTGCATACCAGGTATGGGAGGGCAAAGTGAGCAGGGTTCAATCCAACCCTATTGGCACCTATGAAAACCAAAAAACAAAGGCTTCATCTGTCTATACTCACTTTGGTTCATTGGGTAAAGATTGCCATTCATACTCAAAGGGTATTGTGGCATTAAGTTCAACTAAGAAAACAACTCTCTGGGGGAAGTAGTAGCAGTAGGGCAATACAAATAAAATATTAACTCTCTGCCATTCAGTATGTTTTGATTTCTTCACTTGGAAACTATACCATTCCCACAAAAAGTAGACTTTCAAAATATCCACAGTAATCTACAATAAAATTCTGTACCTCTTGAGGAATGCACATTTATTAGTAACTATTAAACCTATCCAAAAGAGTAAAGGTGCAATTAAACTATGACTATTATACAAAATCTCTGAGACTAAAGATTCCCTCAATTATTTTCCCTTAGTTCCTTTTCTAACAGTTTGTCAACATATAGACTAGTTCATTTTATTCTGAGGTTTTTAACAACTTTACACTGACTTAGCATAGTTGATTTAACTTTGGGCAACCTAAAATAAGCAATCTTGTTACATGGATGCATCTATATCAATCATTTGTTAATTGATAAACACTAATCATTTATCTCTCCTAATGTATTAGCAATACACACCTTTCATGAACAGAATATTTGAGCTGTGGGAGGCACCCAAAATGTTCTAATCCAAACCCCATATTTTCTTTCTTAAAATCCAAGGAAACAATTAAGAGCAGAAAGAGAAAGCCTACAAAATGGGAGAAAATTTTGGCTAGTGACTCATCTAATAGGTGATTAATATCCAAAATATACAAGAATTAAAAAAAATTAACACCAAAAAGATTAATAACCCAATCAATAAATAGGCAAAATAACTTTTTGTGAAACTTCTCAAAGTAAGAAACACAAATGGCCAATAAATATATGAAAAAATGTTCAACATTTCTAGCAATCAGGGAAATGCAAATCAAAGCTACACTAAGATTTCATCTCAATCCAGTCAGAATGGCAATGATCATATATATGAACAATGATAAATGCTGGCGAGGTTGTTGGGGGGGAAGGTATACTTTACATTGTTGGTGGGACTGCAGACTACTGCACCCACTCTGGAAAGTAGTATGAAGATTCCTCAAAAAACTAAGGATGAAACTACTGTATGACCCAGCTATCCCACTCCTTGGTATTTTCCCCAAAGATCTAAAATTGGCATAGCACAGCGATACAGCCACCTCAATGCTAAGAGTAGCATAGTTCACAATAGCTAAATTATGGAATCAACCCAGACACCCATCAATAGATGAATAGATTAAGAAATTGTGATACATATATACAATGGAATTGGACTCAGACATTAACTCAAAGATTGAATGTTTTCTCTCACATGATGAAGCTAGATGAGTGAAAAGAAGTCAAGCAGAGTAGAGGAAGGAGAACATGGGAGGGGAGGAAGGATGAGAGGGGATAAATGGGGAGGGGAAAGAGGGTATCATGAACTGAAATTTATTTCCTTGCATGAATGAGTTTGATGGGATGAATCCAACTACTATGTATAACTATAAAGCTCTAATTTAAAAATCCAATAAACAATACAAAACTAACAGATTAGACAAGAAAATAGGCACTAAACAGTATGAAGAACAAAAATCAGTTTGAAGGGGTTTGAAGGGGTTTATTCATACATCCTCTAGGCATTCAGGAGGAATACACTACTTTACATCCACAAAAATGGATGTTCTGTGCTAATGCGTGCTTATCCCATTAGTGGTATCAGAATTATTTTTTCATACGACATTTATATGCAATTTTCTAGGATATGTTTCATACTTTCTTGTCTTAACCTGAAATTAAAAATCATTTAATTTTGTTATTGGCTCAGAATCAATACAAACAGCACAAAGTAGAAGGCATATATAACAGTAGGACTTATAGCCAGCCTCCCTGCCTTCTGAGCCTGTCTCTGCAGTTACTTGTTACTTGTATAGTCTATGTGCCACCATTCTATCCCGCACCAGCTCTCTAAATGGTTACTTTTAATCCACTGTCTTGGCTCTCAGATAAACATGAGACCTCAATCAGTGTGTTGATGCTAGGTCTAAAAGTATATGACCCAGCCATCCCACTCATTGTTATTTATCAAAATAAATAAGTAAATTCAGCATCCTATAGTGATACAGGCATAACAATGTTTATAGCAATACAATTTACAATAATCAAGTTATGGAACTGGTCTAGGTGCCCATCAACAGATGAATGGAAAAAGAAAATGTGAGATATATATATGAGTTTTACTTCACCATAAAGAATGGAATTATGGCATTTGCCAGTAAATGGATGGAACTGGAGAACATCATGCTAAGTGAAATAAGCCAGGCTCAGAAACTCAAGGGTTGAATGTTTTTTCTCCTATGTAATCACTAGAGAGAAATGAAGTAAATTTTAAAAAGAGGGGGAAATCCTATGAAAATAGAAGGGAGATTAGTAGAGAAGAAGAAAGGGACTGAAAGAGAAAAAGAAAGGGTGGGAAAAGGGAGGAACTGCAGAATGAAATGATCAAACTGGGCTGGGGTTGTAGCTCAGTCGTAGAGGGTTTGCCTAGCACAAGTGAGGCACTGGGTTGGATCTTCAGCACCACTTAATTAATTAATTAACTAATAAAATAAAGGATAAATTCTTTTTTTTAAAAAAAGCAATTGATCAAATTATGCTATGTGTGTGTGTGTGTGTGTGTGTGTATGTATGAATATACCACAGTGAATTCCACATTTATGTATATCTATCAAGCACCAATTAAGAAAACAATAAGTAGGGGCTGGGGTTATGGCTCAGCGGTAGAGCGCTCGCCTCGCACATGCAAGGCCATGAGTTCAATCCTCAGCACCACATATAAATAAATAAAATAAAGTTTAAAAAAAAGAAAACCAAACAGTAAGTAAACAGATGGAAGACCAATAGAATAGAGAAATGAGAATAGGGGGAGGGAGGAGGTGAGGGAAAATGGAAGTACTGGGGACTGAAATGGGGCAAATTATATTCCATGCATGTATTATTATGTCAAAATGATCCCCTATATTATATATAACTATAAAGCACTCATAAAAACATTTTTTAAAAGGAAGAGTCAGTTCTAAGTGAGGACCTGAGTACTCTGTGAGATCTCCCTTGGCTACTCAGAAGTCCTTGCCACTCTGAAGATAGGCCAACATTCTCTAGACCCTTTCCACAGTGTGCTCTGTGAACCGGCAACATCACCTTGTGGAGATGCAGCATTGCTGGCTCTACCCCAGATCCACAGACTCAGATTCTGCATTTCAAATAGAACCCCAGGGGATGTGTTTCATTTAAAGTTCCAAACTTAAGTATACACCACAATGCCTGGAGGCTTGTGAAACCAGAGTGCTGAGCTCCACTCCCAGAGCATCATCCAATCTTTGGTAAGCCTGAGAGCTACCATGGCTCCCAAGCTCCCAGGCAATGGTGCCTGGGAGAAGTCCCAGCTGAGGTGGGAAAGGGCAGCAGGGGCAGTAGAGGTAGTGCAATGGAGCTCCACCTTCTTTTTGCCCCAACACAAGCTCCCTTCAGTAACAGTAGCTTATAATCAGGAAACACAATTGACATTTTACAACTTTCTACAGTGAGAAGGCAGTTGTACTCTAAAAAGATCCCAGGGTGACTGTGGTAAGGTTGCCAGGAGTATCACAGATGAGCTTATGACTGTTGGAGGAATCCCTTGCAGATTTCAGCAGCTTTCTGGCTGGTTCCCTTCCCCTTACCTGAAGGAGCCAAGGCAAGAGCTCCATGCAAGTGTATAGGAGAGACTGCACCCAGGCCCTGGTTCTCAGTCCCCTAGTTTACTCTTCCTGGCAGCCTCTCCCTCAGCCAGGCTGCACAGTAGGCTCTGGGAAAAACTAATCCATTTTACCTCCTTCCTCCCTTTCTCTGATTCCAAGTCCATTTCCCTGACACTATCTCCTATCCCAAGGCTAAGACACCAAACTCAGGCTTGGAAATTGGAGATAAGGGGGAAAAAAACTGCAAGTGCCCTATGGTCTGCTCTGAACTGAAAGCCATGGGGCCTAAGGGAAGAAGGATATATGCCTGGCTTCCTTGCTAACCAGCACCCTGTGTACTGGGGTTTGAAAACTAAGCGATAGCTGAAGATAAACTACTACACAGCTTCCTCTCTGCCTTTGGTTCTTGACACATACTTCAAAGTCTCAGTGACTTTCAGGTATGAGGTGCTGTGACCTAGATCAGAATGCCTAGATTCCTAAATTCTCTGATCTGACCCTATTTACAGCCATATCTGCATTTCTAACATCTGGCTAAATGTTAGATTAAGTGCCCAGCAGGAGACTAAGCAGGTTTCCTGGACCTGACAAAAAGGGAGCACTAGAGGCAGAATGGGCCTTGGTTTGCACAGCTGGTACAAAAGAAGATTGACAACAACCACTTGCAGAAGAAAATTAACTTGGTGTGAAATTTGTTTTTTCTAATTTTCAGCTTATGTTTCTAAGTGAATAAGAATCAAATTGTACCAAATAACATAAGGGGTCATATTTTACATACAAACATTGATTTTGAATGAAACGGCAATGGAAATTTATCCAATTTTCAACTTAAGATATACTTGAATCAAACACTACATAGGTCAGAAATATACTTGAAAACTCTCACCTGTCTTGTCATTTGCCAAACACAATCAATAAATTGAAGGAATATAGGAGATCGGTCAGGATCAGCATGGTTGTCATCACCATGGCCCACTCGCTGCAAAGAAAGCAAAAGGTTAAACATCTTCATGTATGCTTCAGTCCTCTCAAAAGTCATTTTAAGTGATACAGTAATACCTTATCAGACCTAAAAGGATTTGTGGCACATAAACAGCACTTGAAAATGTTTACAAAATTAAAGTGACTTCCATTTTTTTAGGAAACCAAGATTCAGCTTACTATATATCTTGATTGTTTTGTAATTTCTCTTTAATATAGTTGATTTCAATAAATGAAAATCAAGTGGCTAGTGAACTTTTCAGTTCAAATAATGGGTTCAAGATCAGCTACCAGCAGGGGCTGGGGAAAGGGAAGGGAAAAGAGAGGTACTGGAGTCTGAATTAAAATCAGATCTATTCCATGCTTGTATAATTATGTCAAAAAGGATTCTTCTGTCATATAAAACTAAAAAGAACCAATAAAAGAAGATCAGCTACCACATTAAGCAAATTTTATCAATGTGGGAGTGAGTACCAATTAGCTCACAAAGCACATCATGAATGTCATTTTCTCTGTAAGTATAAAACCATTTTTTCCCATTTTTCAGAAATGTCAGGAAGTCTGCATATCAAAATAGTGATTAATAGGGCTGGGGTTGTGGCTCAGTGGTGGTGTGCTTGCCCAGCATGCATGGGGCACTGGGTTTGATTCTCAGGACTGTAAATAAATAAATAAATAAATGCCCATCAATAACTAAAATATATTTTTTAAAAATAGTGATTAATAATAGTTTTTAAAAAATATTTATTTTTTTTTTTAGTTATCGGCAGACACAACATCTTTGTTGGTATGTGGTGCTGAGGATCGAACCCGGGCTGCACGCATGCCAGAGTGCGCTACCACTTGAGCCACATCCCCAGCCCTAATAATAGTTTTAACCAATTTTCTATCACTCAAGAACTCTTCTTCCTTGCTCAAGGAGTCTGGTATTGTGTTTTAGATCTTTTTTTTTTATATTAATAGATTGATACTTATTCTCACCCACATAAACATGATTGCCAAAAACACTGAAAACATCATGAGTAAAAAGATAGCTAAAGAGTGAGCATTCTGAGAGGAGCTTAAAATAATATATAACTAAACAAAAGAACAAGAAAGAAAAAACACTGGGAACACAGAACATGGTCACCACAGGGAGAAAAAAATATACTTCATCTATAAAATTGCCATCGGGAAGACATAAAAACAAAGAAATAACCAAGTCGATGTCAACAGCTCAGAGTAATAGTGTATTGCCTTCTTTTCATTTTTTTAAATATGTGTAGCAGCTTTATTTTTAATAGTCAAAAGCTGGAAACACCCAAATGCCCACCAAGAGATGAATGAATAAATAGTGGTACAGTCATGTTTTGCTTAACAATGGGATAGGTTCTGAGAAACATGTCATTAAGCAATTTTGTCATTGTGTGAACATGACAGAGTATTTTTAGAATGATATGGCTATGACATCAGTAGGCAATATCTTATGGGACCACATCATAAGGGTGGTCAGTCACTGACCACCGTTTATGGGTGCATAATTGTATATCTCTACAAGGGAATGTTTCTCAACAATAAAAAGGAATGAAGTATTGATGCATGAAACAATATGGTTAGACCTCAAAATAATTATTCTGAGCAAAAGAAGCTAGACAAAGAAAAGAAGAAACTTCATGATCGTATTTATGTAAAATTCTGGAAAATGTAAACAAACATAAGGTGACAGAAAACAGGTTAGTAGTTGCTTGGGAATGGGAATGGGGAGTTTTTTCGTTTTTAATTGTAGTAAAATAGAAATAAAAGTTTTATCATTTGGGCCATTTTAAGTGTGTAGTCCAGTCACATTAAGTACATGCACACTGTCAGTACCATCACCACCATGTGTGTGTCCAGAACTTTTTTATCTGACAAAACTAAAACTCTGTTCCCATTAATCCCCAACTCCCCATTTCTCCTCCCCTTAGTCCCTAGCAACTACCCTTCTGCTGTTTCTATGATTTTGACTGTTCTAGGCACGCCATGTAAGTGGAAAACGTTCACTCTATATACCTTTGTGACTGGCTTCTTTCATTCATCATGTCTTCAAGGTTCATCCATGTTGTACAGTGTATCAGAATTTCTTTCCTATTATATTCCATTGTATAGATAGACACATTTTGTTTACCATTCATCTGCTAATGAACATTTGGGTTACTTCCACCTTTGGGCTATTGTTAATAATGCTGCTATGAACAATGCTGCACAAATATCTGTTTGAGTCCCTGCTTTCTCTTCTTTTGGGTATATGCTCAAAAATGGAATTGCTGGACCAGATGACAATTCTATTTTTAATTTTTTAAGGAACTTCTATACTGTTCCATAGCAGCTGCATGAATTGCCTTATTTCTGTATTTGCCCTACATAAAATAATTTGTAGATCCTGCTCTTCAGTACTTAAGGTTCCTAGGGAGCAGTTCCTCACCGACAGTTCAAACTTTAGAATTCATTCTTTCTTTTGATAGACAGTCACTGAACTCCTATGGTGTGTATAAGACATCATGTCTGGCCCTCAGAATTTCAGGCATTTTCATGGAATGTAGTAGAGTCCTAGTCTTTGGCTATCCACCTAGGATACCAAGACAAACCTGTGCTTAATGACTATTCATTTGTGGTCTAGTCGAAGGAGAAAGACTTGTAAAGAACTAGGGCAATTAAGTATTGTAGGGGCTTCTGTGTGTGCATTTGGTACAGTGTGGGCTCAGAGGAACAAGTAAACCATCCTAGCATGGGGTTAGAGAGGGAACAATGGGGGAAACTCATAAAAGTTACAGTTATGGTTGAGGTCTCATTTAAACTTTGAATAATAGGGAGATGCCTATTTCCTATTGGCCAGGAATTTATTATAAGCAATGGAAACATGAGGGAGGATGCTCAGGGAGTCATACATAGCTGGGCATTACTGAGGCTTGGGAGATGAGGTAAGGGGAGGAAGTTGATAGATGAGGCTGGAGACGTGGGCCAGGGCCAGATAACTAAAGGGTTTGAGAGCCATGCTGATGGGTTGCCTATGATCCTGAAGGCCACAGGAAGGCACTGAGGGATTCACACTGGGCAGTGCCAGCATCATATTTGTCTTTTGGAATGTTCCATCAGGCTACAGTAGGGATGGTGGATTGGAAGGGGACAGGTTGAAAAGAGACTACTTAGGAGACTTTCTGAGGGAATTGGTGAGACCTGAATTAAGAGGGCAGCAGTAGCAATGGAGAGGAGATAACAGATTTGAATACATGTACTCAAAGTCATGAGACTGGCTGAGATCACTCAGGGATTAAGCACACAGAGAAGAGAAATCATCTAAGGACTAAGCCCTGAAGTACATCAACATTAAAAGGTTGGAGAAAAGGGGAGGACCCAGCAATAAGAGAAAATGTAAAAGTTTATAGAGGTCCAGAAGCCTAGTGAAGAAAGTGTGCTTCCAGAAGGTGGGAAGAATCAGCAGCATCTAATACTCAGGCCAAATAAGAGAAGGACTTGGCAAAGTGGCAGTTGCTGACAACCATGAGAAGACCATGATGTCAAGACAGCTGGAAGGAGACAGGCAGTGATAGTAAATATATATAATAATTTTGAGGAATATTGTAAAAGGGGAGCAAATAACTAGGGTGATAGCTAGAGAGGGCTGTGAGGCCAAAGGGTTTGGGGGGATATAGTAGTATGTTACTATACCAAAGGGAATGATCTAGGAAAGAGTAGGAATGGGGACAGGATGAAGGAAGAACAGTCAGTTTCATAATAAGGTCCATGAGGTAGATGATGGAAGCAGGTGGACAAGGGCAGGAACTGGCCTCAGTAGCTCAGGTGTCTCATTCCCAGAAATTCTAGGTAAGGTAGATTACAGGGACCCAGTGGGTACGTGGTTGCAGGCCTGAAACCATGGTCTAAATGCTGGCTCCATTCTAACAGTATGACCTAGAGGAGATAACTCATATTCCTGAAACCTCAGTTTCCCTGCCTGTCAATGATAGTACCTGCCTATCAAGATTAAATAAGATGATTCATGTGATGGTACTGGACATACAGTGGTACTCAGTAAATTGAGGCCATTATGAATCATACAGTCACATCACCTTCTCTGTGGCCACGATGTGGCCAGCCCCAGCATTAGCAAGGAGGGACAGGACCACAGAATTGTGGGCTATCTGGACACCTGCACTCCTGGTCAGCCCAGTTGTGTGCTGCCATCTCTGTTGTTTCAATAGACAGCCATTACTGCTGCCCATCTGAGAAAGGCAACTTGCCAGCCTTACCTCCCTCCAGACATACAGTTTGGAAAGGACAGGTAGAAGAGAATGGTTTCTGAATCCTTAGGGAAGGCAAATTGCAAATATTTCGAAAGATTCTATACTCTATCCTCCCCATTGAGTCTAGCCCTTGATGAGAAGAAACAAAGGTGTTCATGATAGTGTTTAAAAATAACCAAAAGAGGTTAAATTTGGCTGGCACTTAGCAGGGACACTGACATCTAAGCACTTGATACACCCAACCTCCATCCCCCATACCACTCCATTTCAGAGGGGAGGAAACCAAAGCAAGAGAAGGGAAGGAATGTATCTAAGGATCTGACAAGAATTCCCCTGGGGCACGGGATTCGGAGGCTATGGACCTGACCATTTTAAAGGGCTGTGAGGGCCTCTCTCTGCTCTCCACTTGGTGCTCCTACATGGAAGCCATTGAAGTCCTCATGCTGCCCATCCTGCATTCCAAAATGAGTCTCTCTGGGAATCTTGGAGTCTTCCAATCCAATGCATGGTGAAGACAAATCCCCAAGAGATCAAGAGACTAGGAATTAGCTACCAACTGGATAAAAACACAAATGGCAGCCACAAAATGCCATGCCAGGTGACCCAGCAATTTCACTCCTGGGGATATGTTCCCCAAATTGAAAGCAGGTTGCTTTGGGGTGAGTTATGTAATTTGCAAATTGAAGTCCTAACCCCTAGTATCTCCAAATATTATGGGATTTGGAGATAGGACCTTTAAGGAGATGAAGTTATAATGAGGCCATTAGAGTGGCTCCTAACCCAATATGACTGGTACCCTTATGACATGAGAAAATTTGGACACACAGAGAAACACCAGGGACACATGCACATAGGTACGAGCATGTGAAGAGGCAGCAAGAGGGCAGCCATCTGTAAGCCAAGGACAGAGGCTCAGGAGAAACTAAGTTGCCCTGCTGACAACTTGATTTTGGAGTTCCATCCTTTACAACTGTGAGAAAATACATTTCTGTTGTTTTAAGTTGCCCAGTCCATGGCACCTCATTATGGCAAAAACTTGTACATCCATGTTCACAGCAAAAAGTGGACAGAGCCTAAGTGTTCATCTACAGATTATGGAAAAACAAAACATGGTATGTATATATATATATATATATATATATATATATATATATATATATACACACACACACACACACACACACACACACACATACACACACACACACACACAAAGGGAATACCATTAACCATAAAAAAGAAAGAAAATTTGATATTTGTTATAATATATATCAACCTTGAAACATCATGCTTAGTGAAATAAAGCCATTAAGGGAAAGTAAATATTGTATAATTCCTCTTATATGAGGTACCTAGAATAGGAAAATTCACAGAGTCAGAAAGCAGAGCAATGGTTGTCAGGGGCTGAAGGGAGGGGAAAATGGAAGCTGAATGCTTAAGATATGCATAGAGTTTCCATTTGGAATAATGAATAGTTTGGGACTAAACAGAGGTGATGGTTACACAACATTATGAAGGTCATCTAGGACACTGAATGGAGCACTTAAAAATGATTAATTCTATGTTATATGAATTCTACCTCATTTTTAATAAAAAGGCATACATGTACACAAAAAAGCCCTGCCATACAATGTTGAGGTCCATGGTATTCTATTATGGCAATTCAGGTTTGATACAGAGGTGAAAGTCTGCATGCAAGTGTGTGCACACATGTCTGTATATGCTACACATGGCAGGTACATACATGTGACAAAGCAAAACATTCAACTACAGACCTCATCATCTCAACTTACCAGTGCAAACCTATGTCCGAAGCTTATCCACTCCTTTTCTATGAGAGTTTCGAATCCTTTAATGGTCCTGTAATAACTGTCCAACATCAGCATCGCCAAAGATGTGAGCTGGGCTGTTCGGTCCCAACCATCGCTGCAGTGCACCACCACAGAGGTTTTCCCAGATTCAATTTTATCAGCAATTCTTACTGCCCCAGCAAGAAGCATCTTCAGAAAAGGAGATATATCAGACAAAACTACACTGAATTTCAATTAGTGCATAAAATAATTAGAACTTTGTAAGTTCTGGTCAATAAACCAAACAAAATGCCATGAAGGGGCTGAAGGCTGGAGCTCAGTGGCAGAACACTTGCCTAGCATACAGGAGGCCCTGGCTTCCATCCCCAGAACCACACACACATACATACACAGAAGACTGCCATGCAGTCAATTAAGAATCACCAGGAAATTTTAACAACATTTAAAAAAAAGTATACAAAGAAAAACTACAGCAGTAATTCAGGTCCTTTTCTAAAGAGTCACAAAGCTCTTTTACAACCTGACTTGAGGCAAGCCTTAACCCCTTTTGATTGTCACAAAAGCCCTCTACAAAGACCATAGTCAGGATGCTGCCTGAGGAAACCAAGAAAGCTCATAAACAAAGCAAAGATGCACTTATTTGTGATACCAAAACCCACTTGGAGATGGGGAAATTTATGGCACTGATGGAGTGAAATCTTAAATGGAAAGCATTTGACTAGACCTCTTTACCCTTATATATTCCAGCCAATGTGTCCCATCCACGTTGGATAGCCACCGTGCCTCATCAATGGAAGGGTACACGATCTCTTTTAATTTCCGTAGTGACTCTCTCATCACATGAATATTGTGGATCTCCAAGAATACAAGCTCGGCATTAGGGTAAGCACTTTCACTTTCATATCCTCCACCCTTTGCCTGTGAAAAACAAAAGATATATACCATTTATCTGGAATTAACTTTTCTATTGTTTCTAGTGCTACCAGATACAGACCACTAAAGAAGTAACAAACACATCCATTGATAAACCTTGTATATACTTATCTGAGTGTCCTGGAGTTGCCAGAACAAAGTACCACAAACTGAGTAACTCAAAATAAAAGAAATGTATCATCTCACAATTCTGAAAGCTGAAAGTCTGAAATTAAGATGTTGGCAGGGTCAGGTTCCCTCAAAAGCCTCTTGGGGGGGATCCTTCCTTGGGCTTGCTTGTCCAGCTCCTGGCAGAAGCCTCAGGCATTCCTGGTTTGTAGAGACATCACTTTAATCTCTGCTTTCATCTTCACTTGACCTTTTCCCCTTTGCATCTCTGCCTCTTCTCTCTTCTTATAAAAAAATACCCTTTGTATAAAATTAGGGCCCACCTCAATACAATATGACCTCATCTTAATTATACATGTAAGAACCCTATTTTGAAATAAGGTCACATTTGTATGTATTAGGAGTTAGGACTTCATATCTTTTTATAGGTATATAATTAAAGTCATAACAATCCTTCATCTATTAAAAATTTTTAAAATATAAAAAACTGGTTCTTACTTAAGAATTAGGTTTAAAAAGGTATTCTTTATGTGTAACTAAAAAGAACCAATTAAAAAATTCCTTCAAGAAACTGAAAACAAACTAAAAAGGTATCTACTGTTAGTGCTATCTATCTGAATAGAAAAAAGTTGCACTGCTACAAAATTTCTGCAATAAAATAATTTGGCGATCAAAAGACAAACCATAACATTTATCTAAGCAATTTAACTAAAACAAAATACAAATGTAACAAAAAAGGAGGATATAGCCCACTTCCTGGTGGTTACTCAAGAAGTTAAACATAAAATTGCAATATGATCCAGCCATTACACTTGTGTACATATATCCCACAGAATTCAGAAAAGGTATTCAAACAAAAATTTGTACAAAAACATTCACAACAGTACTATTCACAATAGCCAAAAGGGAGAAACTATCCAGATGTCCATCATCATCAGATAGCTGGATAAAAAATGTGGTTTATCTATACAATTGAATATTATTTGGCCGTAAAAAGGAATAGGGTACTAATGTTAAAATGTGGATGAACCTTGAAAACGAAGTAAAAGAATACAGGGATTTAATATTGTATGATTTCATTTATATGAAGTGTCCAGAACAGGGACCCCATAGGAATAAGACTAGTGGGTCCCAGGGGCTGGGAGAAGGGAATGGGAATTGACTGCTACAATGGATGGGGTTTGTATATGGGGTGGTAAGAAGGGTCAGGAGTTAGACAGTAGTGCTAATTGCACAACACTATGAATGTACTAGGAGTCACTGAACTGTAAACTATGGAATGGCTAAAATGGTAAGTTTTATGTTATCTGACTTTTATCTCAATAAAATAAACAAAGGTAAACATGTCTGTGACCCAAAGACCACACTCTTCATTCAGTTTCCAATCATTTACCAAGTAAATATGAATGCCCATTCCTGGAGCAACAATGATAAACAAGTAGAGACCCTGGTCTTTCAGGTCCCCCAAATCTGGGGTGGACCGGGAAGAACAGGGTAAAGGGTAGCACAGGGCTATAGGTCTTCTGCTCTGGGAGAACCCAGGGGACACCAGGAACACTGGCCAGGCCTGTTCTACCAGAGGGAAGAAAGCACAACTTGGTGAGAAATGGGCAAGAAAGGTTAAGGGGCCATGGAGATTGACAGTAACAGCTTCCTGAGAGGGGAATAAGAAATTCAGCAGACAGAAATCTAGGGCAGCAGCAAGAATGGTGAACAATGAGACCAGAGACCATGCTGGGACTCAGTGCCAAGCATGAAGAAGGTCAGACAACAGAGGAATCACTGACTCTACTGGGAAGAAGACACTGGAGGTGGGTGAGACTTTTTGCTATCTTCCCTCTTTCTGCGTCTATTTCTATATGACCTTATTATAGGGACACTGGTCATTGAATTCAGGGCCTATTCTAATTAGTTAAGACCTCATCCTAACTGATTACATCTACAAAGGCCCAATTTCTAAATAAGTTCATATTCTGAGGTTCCAGGTAGACACAAATTTGGGGGGGACATTACTAGATCCATTAGAGGGGTTCAACATACAAAAACCAATGAAATGCAGCACATTAACAGAATGAAGGGGGAAACAACTACATGAACATCTCAATTCAGAAAAAGGATTTGACAAAATCAAACATCTTTTCAAGATAAATGCATTCAACAATCTAGGAAAGGAGGTAAACTTCCTTTACTTTGATAAAGGACATGTATGAAAACCCATAGCTCATATCATACCTAATGGTGAAAAATGGAATACTTTTCCCTAAGATTAGGAACCAGGGCTAAGGCTCAGTGGCAGAGTGCTTGCCTAGCATGCGTGAGGTACTGGGTTCAATCCTTAGCACCACATAAAAATAAATAAAGGGATTCTGTCCATCTACAACTATATAAAAAAAAAAAGTTTAGGAACCAGACAAGGATGCCTGCTTTTACCTGAGATTCAACATTGTGCTACAGGTTTTTTATAGGGAATCAGGCAAGTAGCTATGAAATACAATACCAGAAAAGACATAGTCAAACTCTCTATTTGCACATGACATAATCATATATGTAGAAGAGTTGATGGGGACTTCAACAAATGAATATCCTGTGTGTTTCCTAGACACATACACTGCTATGGTTAAAATCATTGTAGACATGCATTTTGGTGTCCTGCTTTTATTTCTTCTGAACAGGATAGAAGACAATGATTATTAAGGCTATTAGATATTGAGAAAATCACCTCCATGAAATTAAGAAAACTATCCTATTCACAATAGCCTTAAAAAATACTTGGGAATCAATCTAACAAAAGAGGTGAAGAACTTCTACAATGAAAACTTCAGAACACTAAAGAAAGAAATCGAAGAAGACCTTAGAAGATGGAAAGATCTCCCATGTTACCAGATGGGCAGGATTAATATTGTTAAAATGGCCATACTACAGAAAGCACTATACAGGTTTAATGCGATTCCTATTAAAACTCCAATGACATCTTTTTTTTAAAAAACATCCAAATCCACTCTTTTTTTTTAAATTATTTTTTTAGTTGTAGACAGACAAAATACCTTTATTTTATTTATTTGTTTTTATGTGGTGCTGAGGATCAAACCCAGTGCCTCACACATGCAAGGCAAATGCTGTACCACCTGAGCTACAAGCCCAGCCCCCAAAATGACATTCTCCATAAAAATAGAGAAAGCAGTTATAAAATTCATTTAGAAAAATAAGAGGCCCAGAATACCCAAAGCAATCCTTAGTGAGAAGAGCAAAGCAGAAGACATCAAATGCCAGACCCTACTACAAGCTACAGTAATAAAAAAAACAGCATGGTATTGTCACCAAAACAGACATGAAGACCAATGGTACAGAACAGAAGACACAGAAATAAACCCACAGAAATACAGTTATCTCATACTAGACAAAGGCATCAAAAACATACATTGGAGAAGATAACCTCTTCAACAAATGGTGCTGGGAGAACTAAAAATCCATATGCAGCGAAATGAAACTAAAACCCCTCTCTCTCACCCTGCACAAAACTCAACTCAAAGTGCATCAAGGACTTAGGCATTAGACCAGAGACCCTGTGTCTACTAGAAGAAAATTTAGGCCAAACTCTCTATTATGTCTGCTTAGAAGCCAACTTCCTCAACAAGACTCCTAAATGCAAGAAGTAAAATCAAGAATCAATAAATGGGATGGTATCAAACTAAAAAAGTCTCTTCATAGCAAAGGAATCAATCAAGAATGTGAAGAGAGGGGCTGGGGTTGGGGTTCAGTGGCAGAATGCTCGCCTTGTACATGTGAGGCACTAGGTTTGATCCTCTGCACCACATAAAAATAAATAAACAAAATAAAGATATTGTGTCCATGTATATATATAACTAAAAAAATTAGAAAAAAAAGAATGTGAAGAGACAGCCTACAGAATGGGAGAAAATCTTTGCCACCCACACCACATATACAGCATTAATCTCCAGGATATATAAAGAACTCAAAAAAACTTATCACCACCACCACCACCACCACCACCACCACCACCGCCAAAAAAAACAAATAACTCAATCAATAAGTGGGCAAAGGAACTGAATAGGTACTTCACAGAAGAAGAAATATGAATGTTCAACAAATATATGCAAAAAATTTAACCTTTCTAGCAATTAGAGAAATGCAAATTAAAACAACACTGAGATTTTTTTTCTTATTCTAGTCAGAATGGCAATTATTAAGAATACAAGTAATAATAAATGTTGGCAAGGATGTGGGGGAAAAGGTACACTCATACATTGCTGGTGAGAATGCAAACTGGTGTAACCACTATGGAAAGCAGTATGGAGATTCCTTAAAAAACATGGAATGGAACCACCATTTGACCCAGTTATCCCACTCCTTGGTATATACCCAAAGGATTTAAAATTAACATACTACAGTGACATAGCCACAATCAGTGTTTATAGCAGCTCAATTCACAATAGCTAAGTTATGGAACCAATCTAGGTGCTCTTCAAGAGATGAATGGATAAAGAAAATGTGGTATATATACACAATGGTTCATTAATCAGCCATTAAAAATAATAACTTTATGATTTGTGCTGGTAAATGATGGATCTGGAGACTATCATGATACATGAAATAAGCCAATCCCAAAAAACCAAAGACCAAATATTCTCTCTGACATGTGGATGCTAATACACAATAAGGGAGGGGAAGGGAGAATAGAAGTTCAGTATATTAGACAAAGGGGAATGGAGGGAAGGGAGTTGAGATGGGAATAGGAAAGACAGAATGCATTGGACATAACTTTCCTATGTTCATATATGAATACACAACCAGTAAAACACCATATCATGTACAACCACAAAAATGGGATCCTAATTAGAATAGGTTATACTCCATGTATGTATAATATGTCAAAATACACTCTACTCTCATGTATATCTAAAAATATTTTTTAAAAATTAAAAAAAAACAAAGCATGTACCTTGTTGGTATCAGCAACACTGTTTTGTCGGGCATCAAAGATAATAAGTTTGTGGGACTGTGCATTAGCATCCATTATTGTTTGCAAGTATTTTTCATCCTCTTTGCAGCGTTTATCATTGGGACCCACCAGTGGCTGGCTGCAACGGGTAATTGTTGCCTGACTCTCCGGATGAATCCATGACAACACCTAGTGTTTTTAAGAAAAAAATATTAGTATAGTTCCTAAAGCAATATATTCTCTAATTACTTGGGACAAAAAGCACAATCTCTCCCTAAAATTTTCCTCTCCAAGCACATTTTATTTTCCTTCATGTCACAGTGGATAACCATGTGGCAGGGTGTGCAGCAGCTTGTTCAATATGTGTTTCTCCTAAGCCAGACAGTTGGCCACATCTATCCCCAGAGCCTCATGCACATCAGCCTAGCACATGGTAGCTATTCATGTACCAAAGGCACAACATACTCAGGTACTGAGGGCAGGTGGCTACTTCTTTAAGGTGGAAGTCAACAGATCTTCTAGAAAGTAGGATTTGTGAGGTGGGAGGCTGGCTCATCAGAGCTGAGAGAGCAGTACAGTGGCCAAAGGACCCACTGTTCTGCCCAGGTTGTAACTCATCTGACTAGATGAGCTCTAAAAATCTCTATGATTTTAAAAAAACAAAAAAACAAAACCTAAGTCTAACTATTACTGAAATATAGCCCCAAACCTATTTAATTGACTAGTTTACTCTTTTATCCTAATTAAAAAATAATCATTGTATCTCCACAATAACATATGTGGCAGGGTGAAGACAAAGTAAACACAGTCTCTTAAAAAATTTTAAACTCTGCCACCAAACCTTCCATTTTCCTTCAATGGCCAAGTGACTCAGAATTATAACAGATAGAAACTCCAGGGTAAAACCATCACTCCCTGCTGGCTGCAATTGTTTCTGTAACAGTGTTCTTCCCATGCAGCTACAGCATTCCACTCAGCATGAAGAAAGAAAGTAACTTTTCCAGGACATTTTCGTGAAACCCGTGATGTGAACTGTTAATGCAATATCATGTTCTTTCTTGCTGTGTCTTTGTTATTCTCCTCTACATTTGGAGAGCATAACTTAAGTTACCCTTGCACTTAGAAACGGGAAATCATACAAAGGGGAGACGCAGCAAAAAGAATGTTTATATCATTAGGTATTTCTTTTTTTATTTGCTTTTTTAAAAGTTTTTTTTAAGGTGGACACAATATCTTTATTTTATTTTTATGTGGTGCTGAGGATTGAACCCAGTGCCTCACGCATGCCAGGCAAGCACGCTGTCATTTGAGCCACATCCCCAACCCCATTAGGTATTTCTTGAGAACCAAAGATATGTTCATTTTTAAGCTTTTTTTCGCCTACTGTCCACTTGGCTAGATTGTTTTCTGTCTTGCATCTTCCCATATTTGATCTAACACAGCGTATGTTTCCATCTGAATGACAATCTTCATTACTTACAGGGACTCTGCCTTTTGCTCGAAAGGCTGCCACTTTTGAAAGGTCATCATCTTTTACACTAGTTGGCACAACAATGATGGCAGGGTAGGTGTCACAGAACTCATAATTACTGTTTATTTTGGATATTTTCCAACTCTCATTTGGCAAGCCCTGAAGGGTGTTAAGAAAAAGGGAAAAACATAATTTTCCACTTTGAAAAATTACTAATCATTAATCACATATGTTTCTTATTTTCAACAAAAAACATTTATACCTTGTTTATTGTTACTTTCAAATTCATACATGTGAATATACACATATGTATACACTTGTATAATATATATGTATTATATATATATGAATATATATATATATATATGCATGTGTGTGTAAAAAATCTGGTATAACCTATTTCCTAGATATTCTAAAAATCTAATGAAACATAAGGTTTTCAAAATCATACAAATATTACAAGTATAAAAGTGTACACTAGAATTCCAGTTCTATATATTTCTTGTCCTGTTTTCTATAAACAATAAGCTTAGAGTTGTTTCTAAAAATACACTAAAAAGTACCTTATATACATAACAATAAATGTTGGAAATAAGTAATACAAAACATTACATCAAATAAAAGGTATAGACAAACATAAAATATCATGAAAATAAGATTATACTGGAAATAACTTGGAGCTGACAATGTACTACGGAGCTCCCAAACTCAGTAGCACCACCTCAGACAGATGCAGTATTGCCATACACCACAAATTGAACTTAATTAAGTGGTTTGGATTTGTAGTCATCAACTCTTTATTAGGTCATCTAATAAAAACCACCTGGAAGATCTGTCGTTTAAACCCCCATTCTTTTTCTTTAATTTTTGAATTATTTACTTATTTGTTCTAATCAGTTATACATGACAGCAGAATGCTGTCATGTACACAAATGGAACAGAATTTTTCACTTCTCTGGCTGTACCCAAAGTAGGGTCACACCATTTGTGAAACCATACATGTTACTAGGGTAATGATGACTGTCTATAAACCTCCATTCTTGACCCCTTACACACCCTCTGGCAAAGGATGAACAATCAGTGACAGAGTCAAAAGTTTGGCATAGGAGAAGAGGCACCCCAAGAGATGGAGAACCCATAAGATAGAGAAGTTGTGCCTATGTACAACTTACTGGAAAGTTTCTTTTCCTCTACCACATTTCTAACCTTTTAGAAGAGAAAAAGATGTTCAACTTATTTATTTTCAGTCTGATAAGCAATATCCTTTACCTGTCTCTTATATTCAGATACTGGATCATAAACTTTCCAGCCATTAATTGGAAATTTTTCTTTATAACTGAATGCAAATAGTGCCTAGATACAAAAAACACAAAACAGATGTCAGTATATATATTTTTACATCATATACCCATTATTAAAGCTTTTCATTCTGACATGAGCTGAATGTATTAATACTCCTATTATAACTTCAAATTTTGAACTAACAAATTGGTAGTGTCTCAATCATTACAGAGAACTGACAACATCCAAATATTCTAATATTATTTATCAATAGAAGAAAAAAGAAATGAAGGAAACCTCCAGAAAACAGAATAATTAAGCACAAAATTATTAGACCATCACAATTGCTTGCAGAAAAGGTTTACTTTGGTGAACTTACCTGCCCATTGGAAAGAGGAAATGCATGTTTGTTGAGGTTTTCAAATATTCCAAGTTTACGCTGTTCCTCCTGTTTATAAGCAAGTCGCAAGTTCCTCATATCCTGGTTTAAAAAAAAAATTAGAACTCAAGTTACTCAATATTTACTGAACTTCTATGAAGCAGATACCATGCCTATACTGATAAATAAAATATTTTATTCATCTCCCATTTTCTACTTTCTACAACTATCAAGAAAAATTTAACAAAAGCACTTCCAATGAGATAAAATAATTAAGGAAACGATAACACAGGGGATATACTATATAGGGAATCATCAGATGCAACAGAATAAGGTTTGTACACAAAAGCTGTGCCATCAAGTACTGTGAAGTTACTGAATAAACTGTGCCATGGAATTAGTTGTGCATTATAAGCCACTGAAAAAAATCTATAGAATTCATACCATCCATAAAACAAAAAATGCCTTAGATGCTTCCCCTATGCACTTACAGAAAGTTTTAAAAATATCATGTAGAGACAGTGACATACTTAGAGCAACATGATGCTATTTCTCCAGCTCACAGTTTCTTGAAATGCCTCCCCACAATGCCAGTTGATGGTCAAAGGCCAAGCACAAGTCAATGGGAACAATCCCACCAAGCCCAGCTCTGATGCTGTCATTTTTCTCATGACAATGTTTTAGGCATTTCCTCACAATATTTTTAAAACTATGTCTATGTCAAACACAAAAATCTCATTCTCAAAGATTATAATTGAAAATAAATGTAACCACAAACAAAGGAATCACAATTTGGGAAATGAAGAAGTTATGTAATATTATTTATAACACCAAAAGCATGGGAATAACCCATCAGCAGGGGCTGTAGTTAAATAAACTATAAACAGCTAACTGGACACTAAAGAGTTGTGAAAATCAAGAAGTAACTCTGTATATACTAATAGAAAGAAGTTCAAATATTGGTAAGGGGTAAAAGAAAGGAGAACACTGTATATAATAGAGTACAATTTGTATTTTCAAAGAATAAGACTAGACATACATGCTTAGGTGCATAGGGTATCTATGAAGAGAGAGGTACTTTAGGAATTGGTAAATTGGGTGCTGGCAGGGAGTGGAACAGGGATATTGGGGAGAGGAAGATTTACTTTTGCTATATAGTTTTTGTACTTTTAAATTTAGTACCATGGGTTAAAAATAAATCCCACACTTTATATGGCCCTTACACGTGAGCTGAGAGGGCTAGGAGCCTGGCCTTAGTGCTTTTAGGTTAGAAAACATTTAAATCAGCTGTTAGCCAATGTCCACTCAGCCATAAAAATATCTTAGTAAAATAGTCACAAGACACCTGCCAGAGCAGCATAATTTCCTGACACACCCTATTTCTGAGCTACTGGAGACACACACACACACACAGACACACACACACACACACCTTGGTAGCTACCTGAGCTGACTTGCTGTTTGGGAGTTCTCAGAAAGAAAAGTATCCCAAGCTATAAAAGAACATGTGCAATGCTCCTGGTGTGGGGCTGGGGGTGTATCTCAGTGATAGGGTGCATGTTACCAAGTGTGAAGCCCTGGGATCGGTCCTCAGCACCACAAAAAAACAAAAACAATCTTGGTGTATATGTAAGCACATGGGTACAAGGCAAGTATGAGCATCTAAAGGAAAGCCAAGAAGACTGAGAGGCAAGGATGAAGGGAGGGTGGCTCCAGAGGAAGCTGCAGAAGAAACTGAATCAGATTCAGACATGTGGGGACTTGAGAAGGGGTGTTTCCCCTAGCCTGTGAACAATGGGAAGCTACTCGAGAGTTATGAGAAGGGGAATGGCAGGTTTCAAAATCGCAGAACCAGTTCAGTCCTCTGACTTAAGTTCTGCAGCTGCTTGTCACTGTTCACATGTGGAACCCTGTCTAAGAAGGACAAGTGCAATGCGCCATGTAGTCACTAATGTGTATCTAGTAAGCCAGCAGATCCACAATTTGGAAAAGTAAAAGCCTCTTTGAATAACTGTATTTAACTGCAGTCTAAGGCCAACCAGGGGTAGCTGTCCTCAGAAATTTGATCAAAGCAAAGAGATTGACAGGAATCCAAACACATAATTTGGAAGGGAACTTGACAATTCTACAGGCACTTGGTACGTTGGGTAGGTTTTTAGTATTATATGAGGTAAACTCATTAGAAATAAAACATATCCATTAAGGGCACACAATTCTACTTAATTCATTGGAAGAAGGGTATAAATAAAAAATAAGCGATTTAAGGTGAAAATTCCAGCATCACCAAAAAAACTTTTATCAGATGATTTACATAACACTTTTGACTCTTTAGGAAGTCTTTGTCCATCCAGTGTTCTGAAGAGTAGTCTTAAAACAATGAACAAGCCAGGCACGGTGGTGCGTGCTTATAATCCCATTGGCTACAGAGGCAGAGGCAGTAGAATCACGAGTTCAAAGCCAGCCTCAGCAACTTAATGAGGTTCTAAGCAACTTTGTGAGACCCTGTCTCTAAATAAAATGCTATGAAAAAAAAAATAGAACCTTTTGTCCTGAACCCCTGGCTTTCCTGGCTGAAGGACAAATGAGAGAGAACAGCTTACAGTTCAGTCCTTCGTACAAAAAAAAAAAAGAAAAAAAAAAAAAGAAAAGAAAGAAACATAAGGAAAAAACAAAGTATTGATCTCTGCTTTCCACTTGCTTTCTCTAAGATGTAACAAATAATGTCAGCACTTATTAGGTTATATGTCACATTAACTATAAATACTTCAACAGGGCTGATTTGCTGCTGCACACCAGAGACTCAGGAGGATGAGGCAGGAAGACTCAAGTTGGAGGCTAGCCTAGGCAACTTAATGAGATCCTATCCCAAAATAAAAAATAATAAAAAGGGGTAGGGATGTAGCTTGATGATAGAGCACCCTTTTGATGTCCAGTACCAAAATAAAAAGGAAGACAAATATTTTAAGAGAAAAGGATTAATTTGATGAGTTACACAACAGTTTAAATCTGTTGATATAACATTTGAAGAGATAACTGCCCTGAAAACATCTGGGAAACTAACAGTGCAAATTACTCTTACAAACCAAAGATCACAAAGGCTGAGTCAGAAATAAGTTGTGAGCCAACTGCCCCCTTTTAGTTTTCACTTGTGTTTGCAGTTTACCTTGCACACGATCTCTATACCACAAGAATTGTCCCCATGACTCTGCACACCAATCTTCTCAACTCTGCTGATCACTCCAAGGGGAACATCAAGGATAAAATGTGGATCCTACATTTAAAAATTAAGATGAATATCTGTCAAGGTCAGCCACCTGAGTTTTCATGTCTTAAGTCTTTGCAGGGTTATGAAACAAGTTTGTTTATCCTGCATTTACTCTTTGTTCCAGCTAAGAAATTGAAGTCTGATTTATAGCATACCTTCTGAGGTTTCCACTGAGACTACAGTGAAACTTCCCCTCCAGGTTTAAGTGTTATTTTAACAGCCTTTTGGTCAAAATACAAAGTCTTTTTGCAAATGTGATATCTTAAAACTCCCCCTCTGAAATGAAAAAAAAATAAAAAATATACCTCACCCTCTGGTTATCTATGGGTGATGGGATTTCAGAAGACTGCTTATTTTCTTCTTTTATTGTTCTGAATTATTTTTTTAAAATAAAACACACTTTAAAAACTCACCCTCTTGGACTAGGGATGGAGCTCAATGGTACAGCACTTGCCTAGCCATGTTTGAGGCCCAGTGTTCAATCCCCAGTACAACAAAAAATAAATAAGTAAACAAACAAACATTAAAAACTCACCCTCTCTACGTTTTTGAAGTACATCTTAAAGTCCGTCACAGTCAGGGTTCCAGTCACTGCTCCCATAAATGGGCAGATATACATGACATCTTTCACTGAAAGAAAAAGCTGAAAGTAGCAACTACTACTATAGACTTATGCTTCAATAAATCTTAGCATGAGTTTCCAAAATATGCATGGTATGTTATTCTAATTTTCTAGGAATTTTAAATTCCTAGGATTATATCAATTATTAATTTAAATAAAGTCATAAATGGAGAGTCTTCTAATAAAGTTCAATTGTTTAAAACAAAACTCTGATTTGTTAATTAATGACATTTTAAGTAAAGTCCTCATAATAAGTTACATTTTGTCATTTTTTCCGGGTAGTTAACATTTTTCCTGGGATATAAATTAATCATATTCAAAACATTAAACTCTGAAGACACTGGGCTTTCCTTTCATGAATTATTGCTACTTAAAACTAATGGAAGTTAAATACTAACTCCTAATGCTATTCCAAGGCAAACTACTTTACAAATTACAAAACTACAGCCACTTCAATGAAGTAGAAAAAGACTTGTAGCTCAGTGGTAGAGCACTTGCTTAGCATGCATTCGGCCCTGTTGTGTTCTGTCTTGACACTAGAAAAAAAATCCTGTTTCAAAATTCTTATCAGCTTCCTTATCAATTTTAACTTTCTTTTTATTATCAATCAAGTATAAAACATTTAATTCCTTTGAGTGTTAAGAAGCCTACATCTACCATAAAGATCCTATATCACTATTTTACCAAAAGTATCATTCCAACGGATTGACAAGAATATACATATCTACAGATGTACTGAGTGGAACAATTGAAAGTACTAAAGTTAACCCAGCACTGTGGTATATGCCTATAATCTTGGTGGCAAGGGAGGTTGAGGCAGGAGGATCAAAAGTTCAAATCCAGCTCCATCAATTTAGCAAGGCCCTAAGCAACTTAGTGATCAAAGGAAAGTGACCATAACACTAGGAGCAACCAAGAGATCTTTACTGCAGCAGTGCAACAAAGGAGAAGAGAAAGAAAGAGAAAGAGAGAGAGAGAGCAAGAGAGAGAGAGAGACAGAGCAAGAGAGCAAGAGAGAGAAGAGCCCAGCAGGAGAGAGTTTTTATAGCCCAAATCTAATGGGGCCTCTGGTTCTGCAAGCTGCCTTGTTGAAACAGGGGGGGTTAAGTGTTCAGCCTTGAGTGGGAGTTGAGTGTTCAACCTTGAGCGGAGGGTTTAGTGTTCAGGTTTGATGCAAACAGGTGATAAAGGACCAGACAGAGGGGGGTTTGAGTGTGTGGGCTATCCTGCAGCTAACATTTGTTCAGCCTGCCCTGCAGATAACATAGTTCAGCCTGTCCTGCATCTAACAAGTGAGACCCTGTCTCAAAACAAAAAGGGCTAGGGATGTCACCTAGTGTTAAAGCATCCCTGGGTTCAATTCCTGGTAAACAAAAATAAAACAATGTACTGAGGTGTTTATAACATAAGTAAGAATAAAATAAATGACAATCATGGCATAAAGATGGGGAAGGGACAAATGAAAGGCTCTTATCCATGAAGAGGTATTTAAAATCACTTGAAGTCATCCATAGTAAGTTAAAGATGTGAAGCAACCAGTAAAATAACAAAAAGGGTTATAGCTACTATGCAAACAAATGAGATAAAATAGAACCTTAAAAAGTATGCAACTAAATTAAAAGATGATAAAAGAGGGAAAAGGAATCAGAACAAATGGGACCAAAAGAAAACAAACATCAAAACTATGCATTTAAAGCTAATTATATTAATAATTATACAATATGTAAATGACCTTATATTAATAGTTATATAATGTATAAATAGCCTAAACACCTCAGTTAAAAGGCAAAGATTGGGGCTGGGATTGTGGCTCAGTCACCTAGCACGGGCGAGACCCGGGTTCGATTCTCAGCACCACATAAAAATAAAGGCATTGTGTTGTGTCCATCTACACCTAAAAAATAAATATTAAAAAAGGCAAAGATTATCAGACTTTTGAAGACAAAAGCAAGACCCAACTACATGTGACTGAAAAGAAAATCACTTGAAATATAAAAATACAAATAGTTTGAAATTCAGATGAAAATAGGTACATCATAATACTAATTAAAAGAAAGCTACCATGTGTATAAAAATATGAGAAAGTAAATTTCAAAGCAAAAGCTATTACTAGGAATAAAGAAGGTAATGTCATATTAATAATAGGGTCAATGCATCAGAAGGACATACTTACAAAACACTTATGCACCTATTAACAGAACTTAAAAATGGATGCAGCAAAACTGATAGAACTGCCACAAGAAACAGACACATCCACAATTATAGTGAGATTTCAAACCCCTCTCTCAATAATTGAGAGAAGTAGATGAAAAATGAGTAAGGGCACAGAAGACTTGAACAATGCTATCAACAAACTTAACCTAATATTTATAGAACACTAATCAATAACATTAAAATAGGGCTGGGGTTGTGGCTCAGTGGTAGAGTGCTTGCCTAGTATGTGCGAGGCCCTGGGTTTGATCCTCAGCAACACATATAAATAAGTAAAATACAGGTATTGTGTCCATCTACAACTAAAAAATAAACAGTAAAAAAAACAGCAAAACACACATTCTTTTCAAGTACATATAAACTGTTTATGAAGACCATAATAAATGTCTTTTTTAGTTATATTGATTTTATTTTTTAAATACATGACAATGGAATTCATTACAATTCTTATTACACATATAGAGTACAATTTTTCATATCTTTGTATATAGAGTATGTAGAGTATGTTCATGCCAATTCATGCCTTTATACATGTACTTTTTTGCATTACAATTCTTATTACACATATATACCACAATTTTTTTATCTCTGTTTATATATAAAGTATGTTGACACCCAATTTGAGTCTTCATACATGTACTGTGGATAATGATGTTCATCACATTCCACCACCCTTGCTAATCCCCTGCCCCCTCCCTTCCCCTCCCMCCCCTCTTCCCTATCTAGAATTCATCTAATCCTCCCATGGTCCCCCTCCCTACCCCACTATGAGTCAGTCTCCTTATATCAGAGAATACATCTGGCATTTGTTTTTTTTTGGGATTGGCTAACTTCACATAGCATTATCTTCTCCAACGCTATCCATTTACCTGAAAATGCCATGATTTTATTCTCTTTTATTCCTGAGTAAAATTCCATTGTGTATATATATGCCACATTTTTTTTTATCCATTCATCCACTGAAGGGCATCTAGGTTGGCTCCATGGTTTAGCTATTGTGAATTGTGCTGCTATAAACACGGATGTGGCTGTGTCCGTGTAGTATGCAGTTTTTAAGTCCTTTGGATATAGTCCAAGGAGAGGAATAGCTGGGTCAAATGGTGGTTCCATTCCCAGATTTCCAAGGAATCTCCATACTGCTTTCCATATTGGATGTATCAATTTGCAGTCCCACAAACAATGTATGAGTGTATCTTTTTCCCACATCTCTCCAACACTTATTGTTGTTTGTCTTCATAATAGCTGCCATTCTGACTGGAGTGAGATGAAATCTTAGAGTGGTTTTGATTTGCATTTCTCTGATTGCTAGAGATGATAAGTATTTTTTCATATATTTGTTGATTGTTTGTACATTGTCTTCTGAGAAGTGTCTGTTCAGGTCTTTGGCCCATTTGTTGATTGGGTTATTTGTTTTTTTGGTACTTAGCTTTTTGAGTTCTTTATAGATCCTAGAGATTAGTACTCTATCTGATATGTGAGGGGTAAAAATTTGCTCCCAGGATGTAGGCTCTCTGTTCACCTCACAGATTATTTCTTTTGCTGAGAAGAAACTTTTTAGTTTCATTCCATCCCATTTATTGATTCTTGGTTTTAATTCTTGTGCTATAGGAGTCTTATTAAAGAAGTTGGGGCCTAATCCCACATGATGAAGATTAGGGCCTACTTTTTCTTCTATTAGATGCAGAGTCTCTGGTTTAATTAATATAAAAATATTCAAGGCATTAAAAGTATGTTTTCTGTACACAAATGGAAGAAACAAAATTGGAAAAAATTCACAAATATGTGGGAATTGACCAACACATTCCAGAATAACCCAAGGTTCAAAAAGGAAATCAAAACGAAAACTTAAGTATTTTTACTTGAATGAAAGTGAAAGCACAACATCATAATTGGTGAGATACCACTTCTAAAGAAGCAATTGAAAGAAAATCTGAACACCTAGACTAGAAAATAAGAAAGGCCGCAAATCAATGACAATAGCTCCTACCTCAAGAAACTGGAAAAGAAGAGAGAATTAAACCCAGGAAACACTAAGGATCAGAGTGGAACTAAATGAAATAGAAAATAAAATAATGAAACTAAAAGCTGATACTTTGAGAAGATCAATAAAATTGATAAACCTCTAACTAGGGGATTAATTAATCTCTGAATATTAAATTTACCTTGAATTCCCAGGATAAAATCTACTTGCTTATTATGTAGTATCATTTTTATATATTGTTGGATTTGACTTATTAAAATTTTTAGGAATCCAACATGGCGGCGGGCTTGGAGAGATCAAGTCTCTGACCTCTTCAGCTGCGTGGGCATAGGGAGTCTTAAACCGTCTAAATGCTGTTTGCTCAGGATCACTAGGCAATGCTGAGCTGACGTGGATCTGGGGCGAACAGTCTGGGCCTCTCAGAACACACAC